GCGCATGAAAGCTGAATTCGAAACCTTGAAGGATGAATATCTTTCCGTGATTCCCGAGTTAACAGTGTAACCGCCAAAATTCTCACGAGGCCGTAGGTGACACTCAACAGCAAGGGAACGCTGAATTTGAATAGGCAAGGTTGAGTGTGGGCAGGGAGTTATTACCGCTGCGAAAGAGCTAGAGGTCGTAATAGAGTTATCAATTACTACAAGTAATTCTTATGCACACGAAAAAAATCCTAGTCCCTCCTCTTAACTCATTATAGACTACATCCTCAAAGAAATGAAAGACGGAATAACCTCCTGTTGCTGGGCAGCGAAAGCTGCTTGCAACTGCTGCACTTCGTCGGCGGTGCGATCCCCGCCAGCCGCTGAATCGACCCGAAGTGGACGACCATTCAGTTCGAAGCCGTTCAAATTTCTGTGCATTAAACAAACAGTTAAAAGAAACGAATGCTGCAGAGCCAGGAAATGCTCATTTCTTGCCGAAAGGACCAATTTGACGGGAGAAACAAGAAATACTAGGATTTTCGCCTAAAAGAGGTCATGGAAATAATTTTTAATATCGAACAACAACAAAAAAAAGACAGATTTGCTAATTCCTCAAATTAAAGAAGCTTAAAAGTGTTTTTTTTTCCAACGATTTGCTTACAATGAGGAAGATTAAACAGCCCAAGCTCAAGTTTATGAAATATTAAAAGACTCGATTTGGGCATCAAACAAACTAAGCGAATTCTATTCAAAAATAGGTTGGAAGTGCTTCAATTTCTATTTAAAAAAAAAAAGAAATTGACTCAAATCTGAATTAAACATTCCAGAAAAGTCGAGAAAAAAACAAAGGCACAATTTCAAAAAAAAGTGTGCCAGCGAAATTTTCCAGTTTTCGTTTAAAGTGATTTTACTTGAGCAAACTTCATCACCTGATTGCACTTTCTGCAGTTTGTGCATCGCTGTATTCGCAAAATCCGTAACCTTTTGGCTTGCCAGTGTCCCGATCGTGCACCAGTCGAAGATGAACCACCGGCCCAACCTCAAAAAAAAAGCAAATGTTTTATAAACTGTCTGCACTGCAATTTGTTAATCTCCCTTTCTTCCTTTTTTCTAAAGCAAGGGTTTTTTTTTTTAATTTTTTAAATAAAAAACCGGCCTTTTTTTAAAATTTTCTTCTAAAATCTTTCTTTTCCTCCTTCTTTTCCCCTTCCTTTTTAACCCCACTCTTACTCAATCTAATCCAACTATCAGGTCGTCGTTCTTTCTGCTTCTTTCTGTCGTCTTCCTCTTTTCTTTTCCTTTTCCATTAAGTACTGCGACCGACATACTGACGAGGTCTCGTAGTGTTGAGTTAAGGCGTATATGACTTAATGGACCGAAACATTCTTATCTTCTCTCACATTGCAATCTATCGCGCCTTTGCCATTTATGCTTTCAGGATCAACCTAGTTGCCACAATCTGCTTATCAAATACCGCCGGTGTGGGA